TGCTGACTGGGCTGTTAGGGTAAGAAGTTCTCTTCTCCACTGCTGGTGGGAGTGTAGACAGGTGTAACAACAGTGGAAACCAGTGTGGATATTCCTCAAACAACTAGGATTGGAGGCTCCATTTGATCCAGGTATTTGCTGGCTTGGTATTTCCCCAGAAGAATAAATAACACCATACAAAAATGTATGTGCACCTATCTTTCTACCAGCACAATGTGTAATAGCTAAATCTTAGAAACAACTCAAATGCCAAAGCAATGCACAAAAGACATGTGAACTTTTATACAGTAGAGTACTACTCAGCTGTAAAGAAGAAAACATGACAGTTTCAAAGTAAATGGATGCAACTTGAGAACATACTTACATGTGAAAAAAATCAACATCACATATGTGATTATTATATTGTATCCCTCATGTAAGAAATTGAAAAACTAAATAAGATCCAAAACATATGACAGATATTTTGAAAGGGAAAGAAACTTCTCAAAAGGAAAGAAAAACTGGAATGGAGGAATGGAAAAAAGGAAGAGAATTATATATATATATATATATATATATATATATATATATAAAGATAGCTAAGATAATATATGACTAATTTCTATTTGTTCATTGAAAACTGGTTTGTTTATATTGCTCAATAAATTTTTCATGCCTAAGTCTCATAATTTGAGCAACTACTATGAAGATAAATACACACAATATATTAATCATTGTTAAGCCCTATTAGTTTGTTTTGAAACTCTGTATCATTGCTCTTATAGATTTCTCTGTTTAAAATAAAAAAGAAACCATAATAAGAAGGACTTAGTAGGTCAGAAAGAAGGGAATCACTATTAGGATTACTTAGCAGACTGAATTTAGAGAAGAAGTGACACTCAAGGTACCTTCATTGCCCTATCTTGAATTAGCCAGGTGCCTTCCTCAGCAATGTCACTGCTATTGCATGGCTAATTTTATCTTGAGTAGTATAAATTATTTCTAAAGATTAATTTACATATTTGATGTGACAATTTAAATAAAACTACAGATCTAATCTTCTTTGAGCATTGGCACGCAGTCTGACAATTACAGGTGAAGGCCAGGATCTGTTTTAGTCCTCCCGATCCCCTCTGAGTCCGTTGGAGCAGCTGTTGCTTTCCTGGATTTTGCATTTTGCTTCGTTTTAAGCCAAGTTTATATTCAAAGAATTCAATTTGTTTTGCACACTCCCTGAAAAACAGTGAAAATCATGCTTGCAATTGAGCAAATTTACTTTGAAAAATACTTACTTTACAAAATGCCTAGACTATCATTCACAATGATGTGATTATCTCCTGGTAGGTACTTTCGTGAGTATTTTTATTTTGTAAACAAAAAGAGGAAATGTACACTTGTAAGATGGATACTGAATTCAAAACACCTATTCTGGTAGCAAGGTAAACATTCTGCGAACAACTTGGATAATGATTATAGTTATTTAGAAACAAAACGTTGAAAACTATTGCACCATTTTAAAATGTAACCAAATGTCCTCCATTATGAAGTAAAATCTTGTAGGATCAAACACATTACCCTGTGACACTACAATCATGGTCTTAAGAATGTTACTCTATAAAATAAATTTTTAAAATATCCTATAAACATATTCTTTTCATACTTAATGATTTTCCTAGTAAAATCATAGCTCATAAAAATTTCAAAAAGAATTGAATCAAATAAAACACTCCCATTTTGCTTTGTATTAATGACTTCGTTGTGTAACCTGAAGTGTTGGTATTGTCCAGGCGTGCGTCCCTCCTCCTCCTAATGTTGCCTGTATGCTTTTGAGGTCCTCTGCCCACACCGCAAGCCCCTGTGCTAGTTCTCCCTAGAACGCGGTCCCTGCCCCAGTCAGAGAGTATCCTTGGTCCGGATAGAGGACGACGGGAGACAGGGTTCTTGCTCAAGGCTCTGCTTCAGGGGCCCGCAGGTGCTGAGCTCTGGCCCTGGATTTACTGTCCAGGTTTCCTGGTCTTCTCAATCCCTGCTGTTGTGGCTTCGACCTTGCCCGCTCATCACGTTGCTGGGATTCTCCTTGGTTCTGAGGAAGGGATAGCACGGAAAGGCTGGATGATGATGATGAATCCCCAGTGGATCAGACAGCCACGTGCTGCTTCTACTGGGAAGGGCGTTGCGGTTTGCCCTGTCCTTCCAATGCATCATGTGTTCTCCGTGCTCGTGCTCCTACCCAGGTTCCCTTGGTGAGGTTTCTGAGCTTTTCTGTGCTATCCAGGGTGTCAGAGTTTCCTCATACACACATCAAAGCTTTCCCTCTGTTTGTTAAGATTTACAATCTGCCCCCCCCTTTTCCTCATTCTTTCTTCTTTCCTTTCTCTCTCTGTTCCTCTGTCTCTGTCTCCCTCTGTCTCTATCTCTGTCTGTCTCTCTCTGTCTTTCTCTCCTTTCTTTTTATCTTTCTTAGCCTTTATGCTTTGCAAAAGGACCTTGAGCTCTGATCTGTTTTGTGTACTGTATATTACAGTACATTATTTTGTGAGGATGTTTGTGGTGGCTGCAACACCAAAAGACGGGTAATTCCTACAGCCCTCTGTTAAGCATGACCGTCCTAGGCAGTAACAGATAATGAAACCTCACAGAACACACTTCCTTCAGCTCCTGAGGTGGCATTTCTCAGGCTTCTCATCTTCCTCTCTTTGTCCTGAAGTGACAGCTCTGTGGCCCTCACCAAGGGGAGTCCTCTGAGAGCCATGTGGAAGTCCCCACGTGGACAGCAGCTCTCCCAGGCTCCAGGCTGATGAAATCTCAGCAATTTTCACCATGGGATCTGAGTTCTTTCATTGCCTTCCCCAAGGCCACAGAGAAAAAAAGGCAAATGAGAAAACCTAAAGAATGTGGTGTTTAACCATAGGGTAGATGCTGTGTGAGGCCTGTGACACAGTGAGATGTTTTCTCTGTTTTATGAAGCAACTGAATCCAGGGTACTGCAATCCTCAGTTTTGCTGACAAGAAGAATTAAATGGATACTTAGCCCACAAGAACACTTTCCTGGAAAAAATAGATATAAAATGTGAATATATCTGAGAAACTTTTCCTGTGTTGCTCTGGATAAGAGGATAGGCCAACAACTGGATAGAAGTGTTGTTTTGATTGAATGATATTTATAATCTGAATCAGCATCCACCAAGAACTCATGGTTTGTAGCGTGAATAACTAGGTTTAAATAAAATTCAGAAAATCATAAAAATGCATGTAAGTTCGAATTAACTGTGTATATTACATTAATTGGCTTAGAATGTATTTTCTCTACTTTTCAATTTCTTATTGAGGTTCTTTGTAACAGAGAATGTACTTGTTGCTGAAAATAGATTAAACAAATAATCTACGTAAGATGATGGTGACACCTACCTTGCTCTTCTGCACTACGGTAGGATGATTTTCAAGCACCAAATGACTCCTTTTTCTTAAAAATAACAAAAAAAGAGTGTATCTTCTGTGCAGTGAGAGACACTTTATACCTGTGTTCTTATTACAAATACCACAAACATTAATATTTCACTAGAGAAACAAGACCAACAAAAATAGGAAAAAGATTTGTAAAGGTTAGTTCTTTCTTAAAAATCATTTCAAGTATAAATTTTATTCATATGTTTTCAAAATATTTTGAGTTGTGGAATAGATGCCAAAAGCTCTTTTAATTTTATTAACCATAATCATAGGATTTACAATTATTGAAATTTAAGATGTATAGGTCTATGTATATTTATAAATATATTAATATTGATAAGTTGATATATTAACATTTGCATACACTAATACTTACTGGATTATGTAATACGTATAATTTTACCTATACTAATATATATATATTGATAAGTGCCAAAATATCTTACTAGTAACAGCATGACTCAGTGCTTTAAAGTGTGTAACTGGTAGCATCCTAGGTCCGTAACTTTGCACATTCCTTTCTGTTGCCATTCTATCCTGCAGGCAGCATTCACACTGTGGTATTAACGTCACATGTACTTGCAGTAGAGGTGGATGACTCCAAAGCCCCACAAAAATTTAAAACAATGCAATACTCAGGAGCACAACTGAATTCAAATTTAACTGTCCTAACATTTTTTGATGCAAGAGGTATTAAGTCTGAGTCTTTACTCCAGATCATTTACATAATTTAACAATATATTTTGTTTAGACAAGAATACTTTTATTATATGCATCATACTTTTTAAAATTCATACTTCTTGGATGTTTTGGCATGAAAGGATGTGTGTAGACCAACTTCCAAAGGGGTGATTTCTGATTGAATTAAAATGTACTTGCCTAACAGTTCCTAACCAGTGTGGGAAATCAGTAGATGAATGATTCTAGAAGGAAGCAAAAGTTTTGGGAACAAAAAGATTAAAATATCTTTCACATATATTTTGAATTCCACCTTGGGTTTGCGCTCTGATGTCAGATTTACTTACACTTAGATTCATCCAATTTTAAACTAACGGAATACTAAAGGATGTGAAGGCAAATTTGAGGCAACATTTTGTCATGATAGGGCAACTGTTGCAACTCAGGAAGATCCACATCCACAGACCCTTCCCTAAATCACTTCTGTTTTTCCATCACCTTCTGACGTGCAGGCCAGGACTTTATCAGGGACAGAGAAGAACCAAGGTCTTATCCATAAGTACCTTGTATATGTCAGCTTGGTCTTTACAGCCAACTTTTCTGAGTTCTGAACATCAGCACACATCAGAGAGGAAAGGATGGGAAAACTACTTAATTTTCAAATTTGTGAAATGTGGATTATTAGAAATTTGATAATGGAGAATTCTGTTGAAAATCAAATGAGATTATCTATGTAAGTGTTTAGACAAAACTATGATTTTGACAGTCATTATTTATGTGTTTAGGGGTAACTGATAATCATTATATCAAAGAATAAAAAAATTCCACTCTTAATTACTTGGTAACCTAACATCATCTGCTGTGGTTGGTCCCTTCCAGATCAGAGCAGATGAGCTATGGACACAGCAAACCGAACCGCAGTGACAGAGTTTATTTTCCTGGGGTTCTCGAGCTCTCCATCCCTGCAGCTCATGCTCTTTGCCACCTTCCTCGCTGTGTACCTGCTCTCCCTCATGGGAAACACCCTCATCATCTTCCTTGTTCTCATGGACTCCACACTCCAGACACCCATGTATGTCTTCCTAGGGAATCTGTCCTTCTTAGAGATCTGGTACACCACGGCTACTATGCCTAAGTTGCTGGACACCTGCCTCTCCACAGTTGTCACCATCTCTGTTCCCGGATGCATTGCCCAGCTTTATTTCTTCTTCTCTATGGGAGCCACAGAGTGCATCCTGCTTGCTGTGATGGCCTATGATCGGTACGTGGCCATCTGCCGCCCTCTGCACTACTCGCTTCTCATGAATGCTCAAATCTGCCTCAAGTTTTCAGCTGGGTCTTGGATTGGGGGCTTCTGTGCTACTCTTCCCACTACCATACTCATTTCTCAACTAAACTTTTGTGGCCCCCGGAAGATCAACCATTTCTTCTGTGACTCAGATCCCGTTTTCAAACTCTCCTGCTCAGACACATTCTTCGTAGAAGCCTTGAGTTACACTTTCAGCTCAGTCGTGATTCTAAGCTCTTTCCTTCTCACTGTGTCCTCTTACGGCAATATTGTGACCACAGTGCTCAGGCTGTCTTCCCAAGAGGCTCGGAAGAAGACTTTCTCCACCTGTGCCTCCCACCTGACCATAGTCACCATCTACTATGGCACCATTATCTTTGCCTATGTCCGCCCTCCGGCCAAGTACAACTTCACCATTGGTAAAATGGTCTCCGTGTTCTACTGTGTGGTCACCCCTCTGGTAAACCCTCTCATCTACACCCTGAGGAACCAAGAGGTGAAGAAAGCTTTCAGGAAATTTCTAGTACAAAAGACTATTTTATTCACTAGAATAATTAAGAACTTTTGAGTTATCAATGAAATTAAAATAATACAGCATAGTTATTAAAATTTTATGTGTAAATGGTAAATATTGGAAATTATAAAATCTTGGCCATTTTATATTGTCAAATTTTGTACTTTAACTTTTGTTTTGAATTCCACAAAAGTATTTTTCTACAGTTAGTCTGTGCATGAATGTGTTAATATAGTATCATAGTAAAAGAAAGATTATTGATCTAAGATTCCTGCTGTCAAGTTATACACATGTGGAGAAGACTAGTTTTTATCACCCACTTCAGTTAAATATTTTCATAACTGTGATATCCATTGATAATATTAGCCAAAAATTATTAACTAGAGAACATTCACATAAACATAGCTATTTGCATCTCAAAATGCTATCATTCAATAAAGATCAAGCACATGTGTTGAACCAGACACTAAAATCAATCATTGAGAACTATTTTATTTTTCTTATAAACATAGCTATTCACTTTTATAAAATCATAAATATTCAAGATTTTTAGGTAACATAAATTTTAAATGAGTAACTAAATTTAAAATTATCAACAGAAGTATCATCATTGAAAAATGAAGAATGAATATTTGGAGAGATTAACAGTACAAAAATGGGCCATTTAGTGAGAAAAGGTGTTAATTTTAAAATTTTCAATAAATCCAGACATGTAATTAAGCAAAAAGTAATTTGATTATAAAACAAAGGTAGAAAAGAACAACACAGAAAGAATTACTGCTCTTGTCACTCTTGCATGCACGTGAAGGGGCTCTAGAGTCCATTAATTTAGTGAAGTTCACCTGGAGCTGGGAGGATGAGTCCCTGCTGTGTTTCAGGAGGATGTGTAGCTGCTCTCTAAGGCTCTTCCTTCAGGACATGGCCAGAGGAAGAGCGGAGCCAGCACCTCCAGAAGAAGGGAAAGTGCACTCAGGACTCTGACAGGGTCGCCAGCTGACGCGGTCAGCAGGTCAGAGCCTGAAGGCTACTCGTTTAGCCACCTGAGGCTTTTGTGAAAGATCTCTTTAGTGATGAGAGAGTTAATAAAATCAACAGTTTGCTGCAAATGCCAATATTAAACATTTCTCTTAGTTTTAACTTCAGGATATGATTCTCTGGAATACATAAATAATATTTTCAGAATGCCCAGTTAACTTTTATTTGGGAAATGTTACCTAATGATTTTGAATATTTATTAGTGCTAGATATGCAAGGTAATTTGGCTGTAGTCTGACATCCTGATACCTGCATGTTCTTGGATTGCTTTCACCTCCACATTTCCACAGCCTTTTCCTCTTTCTTTGGTCTTCTTCCTCATATTTGTCAATATTTTTCTTCTTTCATGTCATCACTTCCCTTTTCTTCTTTGATTTCACATTCCCAAAGGAAAGAAAATATGGGTTATTTTACTGGGGTTTGACTGATTTGACTAACATGATGTTCTTTGGATCCATCCATCTTCTTGCAAATGACAAGATTTATACCATTGTGCTCATGACAATATTTTTATGTATCCATTCTGTGATGGTGGATCTTTTAGAGATGAATGCCGAAAGTACAACCCAAAGCCCACTCATTTACTGCAAAATGCCAACCCTGCAACTGAAACGGAATCGTGAGGTTATAGTTTGAAAGAGAAACTGTCATCCAATGCCCAGCTGCTGGGAGAACCTGGCTTCCACATGGACAGAGAAAGTGGTGTGTGCTCACTGCATCATCAGTGCTATAGTAAATTCCATACTCTTTCTGCAGCTTCGGTTTGGTCCCACTGCTGTAAACATGGGCACACTTGTGTTGCTGTAGCGTGTTGTTTAATTATTTCAAAAATATACTGAGGAGTAGCATTGCTAGAACCAGTTGCAGCAGTATTTTATTTTATTTTTATGAATCTCCCTACTGATTTCCATAGTGGCTGTTATAGTTTGCATTTCCACCAAAATGTAAGTCTTCTTTTTGCATGTACTCTTTGCAATGTTTATTACTCTTTGTGTTTTTGATGGCAACAGTCCCTGTTTCTGGGAGACAGAAATTATGTGTGGTTTGTTTTGCATTTCCCTGTGGTTAAATACTTTGAACAGTTTTCATGGACTGTTGACCACTTGTACAGCTTTGATGACTGTCTGTCCAGTTAATTTGCCTACCTATTGAATGGATATTTCTTTTCTTAATGTTTTATTGAGTTTCGTGTTTACTCTGAATATTAATCCTCTGGCCCAACTATGCTGGCAAAAATTATCTCCTTAGTAGTTATAGTCAAAATAACTTGTCCCTATAAAGGTAAAACTTAGCACGTGCATTATCAACAGTTTTCTAACACCTAATTTTCCATAAGGATATCAAGTTATATGGAAATTTTCTATAATTATGTTCTTGGCAGATAATTTGTGTTGAAATATTTTACTTCAAAAATATACTTGTGGCATGTTTCAAAAATATGACTATTGCAAGAAGGGAAACAATCAGAAATTTCTGATCCTCTTGTCTACTGCCTTTGCCTTCATCAATAAAATCTTGAAGGGTTTTTCATTTTTGCATCCAGTGCTTTCTCTGTATTCATATTAGTTTTCATTGTTGGTAAAGTTCAAGAAAACAGAACAAGTGAATGGTGATTTGCACTCCTTCCTAAAAGAAATATTTATATTTTATGCACAACATATTCTGTCTTGACTGTTTTCGCATCCTAAATAAGCACCAAAGTAATTAAACACCAGGATAAAGAGGATTTTAAGCTGACATTTAAAATGACCTATATTTTTCAGGCTTTTCTAGTGGTAAACACCTAGTTTTATCATCTCCTGTTTTCAAAATAATTGTCATAAGAAATAACATCACAAATACTTTAAATATGAGGTTTTGTGTATAAAGATATGTGTGTCTATGTGTGTGCAGATTATCAAAATGCAATTGCTGATGCAAGAAATATGCATGGAAATATTTAACACACAGCTGAAATTTTCCTTCAAGTTAATTACAAAAATCAAACAGCAGTTTAAATTCACAGAATATTAGAAGATCATTTCAAAATTATGGGTTTTGCCAGTTAGATATGCAAGAAATAATTTTATTTATTTTGTTGGTAGTTTTACTATGAGTTTGTTATTTCATGAAATGCACATCAGATTCTGCCCTTACAATTGTGAAAACATTCTGATATATTTTCCATACTTTTTCCATCTTGTTATTGAGTTTTTCTCAATATTAAATATTAAGTTTATAGATAATATTAATCTTTCATTTGTGATCTGAGTGGTAATTATTTCAATGCTTATTTTTAATCATTCAAATTATACTTAATTTTGTACTTATACCATTAATATCATACCTTCTGCATGTCAGAATTTTGTTAAAAAATAAATTTCATTTTTAAAATGATTTCACAATTTTAAAAATTATTTTTCATTGATATCCTATTTTATCTTTTATAAATATTGAGTCAATTATATTCTCTATACATTGTATAATTTTAAAATAAACATTCATTACAATATTTTGCACCTAATAATCAAAAACAATGAAAATCTTCCTTATGGAGAAAACAACAAAATCACATCTTTCTGGGGCTCAGTGAGACTGCTAGCCAGGAGATGCAAATTCCAGAAGTCTGGACTGTTGTTCCACCACTTCAAACACTGCAACCTCATTTAGAGCCCCAAACACAAGATGACTGGTGATTGCATGCTTTCACTGTCAGAATCTGTGATTGCTGCTGGCTACAGTTCTTTACTGCATGGAAGGTACTGAGCATAGTGTCTGCAGGGCTGAGGAAAGGTGTATTGGGTGCTCTGCAGGGTTCTCTTGGGGCAGGACCAGGAAGGGAGTCTTTTTGTCCGTTTCTTCATTTCTCAGTCTGCTTCCTGCCTGCCATACGAAACAGGTTTTCTCTCCATGCCCTTCCAACATGCTCTTTCTGCCTTGAAGACAGCTGACTGTACACTGAAATCTCAATACCTCATGAGGTAAAATAAACTTTTCCTCTTAGGTGGATTTTCAGTATTTTCTCCCAAGTGATAAGAAAGTAGCTAAAAGATTTTGGAACCAGAGAGGTGTGACATTGTTATAACCACAGGTAATATGTGTTTCAAATCATTAACAAGTTGCCTGTGGGTGGAGTTTGGAAATGTGTGTGAGAAAGGACTCAGAGAAGTCCCATAATTTTGTGAGGAAGTGATGATGCTCAGTGCTACTCAGTGCTTGGAAGAACACACTCCTCATACACATGTGAGCATAAAGGACAGACTCAGAGGTGATCATTTTGGAACAAGAACTCTATTGGCATTTTGTCCATGTCCTGGGGCATTGCAGGAGAATGAGGCTAAAAGTGGTGGACTAATTAATCTGATGGAGGAAATTTGAATGTAAACAAATATGTAGGCTGTAGCATGGGTCCTGAGAGAATTCAGTCAGATCTACACAGAAAATAAGGAATAAAAGGCCATTTAAATGTTTTCAGTGTTATCAGAAAGTAAGTGCCTGCAGTGCTGAATCACAGATGTGCATGGCTGCTGCAAATAGCATTAAAAAGAACCCAATCACGTTGCATGATGTGAAGATTAAACTATTTTAAGATCAGTGTTGTAACTTAATTATTGTATGCCTAATGACCAAAAAATAAGAGAATAAGCTTGACGAAGGGCAAATAAAATATTATCTGCCTACTGCTAATGAGACCTGCAAGCCAGGTAACACAATGGAAAAGAAGGCTTGAAACCATCCCTGGATCCAGCAAGACTTTTCCCTTCCCACATTTAAGAGTATAAATCTGTAAAGGTTCATTTGAAAATAAAGCCCCAGAGCTTCCTACTCATTCTGGGCCTCAGAGGGAAGAATTTCCCCATGTTCAGATATCCAGGCACCCAAAACATCTTACAGCCACGATCCAAGGCAGTAGAGCTATTGCTGAAGTTGGTGACATTTGGCACTATACTTCTGATCCTCATATTTCAGGTAGGCACAATGCAAAGTTAAGGAGTTATGGAGGCTTCCACCCAGATTTCAGAGGAAGGCTTTGGAACCCATGGAATATATCATAAGCAGGCACTGGATGAAGTTGTGAGAGTAAAGCCAATAAATGCAGTGTAGATTTCAGGAAGTTCTAGCTACCATGTATATGGAACAGCTGCTGGGAAAAGCCAGAGTCACGGAGTAGAGAAAAGCCATGAGATCAGCAACTGGTGGTGCCATAGAATGTAACCACACCAGTCCTTGGGTATTCATGTCACAATGAAACATGCCCAGGAGGTTGGCATGGAACTGAAATGTTTAGTGATGGCACTTGATTTGCTCTGATACCTTCCAGGTCCCTATTTTTTTTTTTAAATGGAAATGATAACCCTGTGTCATTGTGTATTGGAAGTGTTTGATTTATAGTGGACAGAGTTTAATGCTAAAATTTGTTTTGCATCTCAGAGGAGACTTTGGAGTTCAACTTTTCAGCAATGATGAACTTGTTAAAATTTTGCTAACTCTTAGAATTACTAAGTGGATTTTACATAAAGCAATGAGCATGAGCCTATTGGTGTCCAGGAACAGATGCTGAATGTCAGCCCTACATCTTCCGCAGATTCTCACACGTAAGGAAGCCGACTGGTTGTGGAGGTGCCATACTCATTAGAAGATTCACCCATGGATGAAGGTGGCAACTGACCATGCTGTCAGGAGGAGGGACCTGGCCCCAGGTGACCACTGTGGTGGAGCCTGGAAGGATGCGTTCCTGTCTCCACCTCTCTTTTCTTCCTGAAAGCCTTTGGGTGAGCAGCTTTTCTCTGCCCTTCTTTCATCCCTTCTTATCTTGGAGATGGCTAAGCGTGAACTGTAACTCCTAAAAACAATGAGTCAAACTAAACTCCTTTAATTTTCTGTGAGGCACAATGATGGGGAAATGGCTGAGACATTAGCCTTTTTCTCATCTCAGAATAAAAGCTTACACCTTTTCATCATGAGCAAGAAGTTAGTTGTGAGTTTGTAAGATAAGACAGCAATGTCACTCTTGGATTGCAAACTTCTTGACCTAGACACCACTTGTTTCTCACTTTAAAGTGCACTCTACCCTGGAGAATTCTTGCTTAAGAAGAGCATGTAATCTTCTAAAATTTTATTGGAATTTTGAGACGCCTGCTTTTTTATATTACTTTCTCAATCTGATTTCCCTGTTAATATTTCATATATATATATATATATATATATATATATATATATATATAATCACTAAATCTTTATAAACTGACAGTTTTCAATAACTAATGACCGTTTTCATCTTTTTACAGCTTTCAATTTGAAGCACAGTTTATAAATACTGGTATTTCTATTGCCTCTTTAATTCCATGGAATATCACTTCAATCCCTTTACTTTTGATCTGTTTATTTTTAATACTAAAGTGAATCTTTTGCAAGCAACATGTAACTGGTTACTTTTTAAATTTATTTAACAATTTTAATGGGCAATTGAATTCAATTTCATAGTAATTCTTAATATGTAAGGATATTATACTACCCTAAATTATTTGTACATTAATTGTTTTGGAAAAGCTTTGTTTCTGTTTTCTTCCTTTACTTTTAAAATTTATTTTTTTAGAATTACAGAATTGCACTTAAATTATTTTTCACCCTTATGGTTTTGCAATAGAATTTTAGTTAGCGGTACTTCCTTAAAATATTTTAAATATTTCAGAGGTCATTTCATGTTGATACTCACTTCACTTCAATCACATTTAAGGAGCTGAAGTGCTAGTCTGCTTTGCTCACATATTTTCTATTTTTATTCACTTTAAAACTTATAACTGTTCATATTAATGGAATTTTTCTACATTTCTTTGGTTCACTTTGTCTTATTGTTTTCGGATGTCTGCTTAGGTTGTGATTCTTTGCCCTAAAAGAGTCTTGTTTTGGTTTAACCTCACTTTTCTATACTTGAGTATCAATGTTCTTCTGCAAACTTGGAAGCTCTTTGCTATTACTTAACTGCCCTTCCTGTGCCTGAGTTTCCTCTTCTCTATCAGCACTCTGGTGTCTTGAACATTCTCTCCTCTGATGTTGTCCCATAAACAGCTCTTTGCAGCTCTTTGTCTATTCATCCTCTAACTGGAAGCCAGCTGGAGAATCCTTGATCTGCCAGTGTGGTGCTGTATCATCTGTCCCAGGCCACTTCTCAGCTTCAGAGTCTGTGGCTGCCAATCCACCTTGGCACTGAGGCTGAGGAATAGAGCCACAGAGGCTGGCTGCTCTCCATATATCTGGATTCTGTATGTTGTGGGCCTGGCCTGGGTGATAGCACCATGAACACATGTATGACACTTAGGCCTTAGGAGGATGGGTCAGTGCTGCAGAGGACTGAAGCACACGATGGGGTCAACGCATCTGATGGAGCTGTGGGGTCATACTACAGCTTCTGTGGTAATCCAGGGAATCCTGGTACCCAGGAATACCAGAAGCCATGTGCAGGGGCTCCATCCCAGCTCAACCATGCTCAGATATACAGCTATAGGTCACAGCCAGTATGACTGGGCCCTTAGCTTTGGACTAGCACTGAATGCCTCTTTTCCTCTGGCATAGTCTCTCTGTTGGTCTCTAGGAGGAGCCTGATGACTAATGCTGGGGGTCAGTTTGCTCCTGGGGGGACCAAAACATTGCAGTCTTCTGGGCTAGCCTGGAGCTGGGTCATCGGCAGCCAAATGGTTTGGTCTGGTCAGGTGTGACATTCTGGGTTCAGGCAATGGTAGCTGACCCAGGCCTAAGAAAGTCTGAATCCTCTTCCCTAATTTGGGAAAAAAATCAGAGGAACAAATCTAAAAGGAACCATTGCTGTCAAAAGTGCCCAAATCTCAAATTATTCTAGAGGATGTAATCTGAAATCATTAGCTAATTTCTAGGTAACAAAACTCTAAATTATTTCTAAATTTCTGCCAATTCAGGTGTACTATGAGTTAAAAATCTCAATATAAAATTCAAAGGAATATAGTTGTGAATGCTGAAAATTGATTTTTATGGTAGATTTTAATTAAAGAAAAAATGTTTTTGGTTTTTTTCTTTTTTGTCGGTACTGGGGGTCGAACTCACGACGACACACTTGCAAGACAAGCACTTATGCTGCTAAGTTAAACTCCCAACCCTAAAGAAAGATATTTAACTAAAGAAAGAGAAAAACAGAGCAAGATATTTTTGCATTCTTAAAATTAATGTTGTTTTTTGTCAATGTAGCTAATATCCAAATATAATTGTCAAATAATAAAGAGTGAATATTTTCCAAGTATAATAATAAAATATTTATCTTTAATTGACACTTTATTACGAATTTATGAAAAATGACAACACACAAAGAAAAGATGAAGAAAAAACCTGAGTAGATAATTTATGAATTAAATTATAAAAACAAGTTAACTATAAAACTAGAAAATATTTAAATTCAGTAATGATAGTACTATGAATTGTTATTAAATTTCATGTATGCAAGATACTTAAAAATTATGATATGTAATTATTATAAAACAGCGAAATAATAGTCTCTTTCATGTATCAGCCATTAACATTGAAATAAAAATAAAATTTCATACACTAAAATTAGTTGTGAATCTATTTCAACTAGCAATAACCTACAAATAATAATAACATAATTTTACAATACCAAACTTATGGAAATGTCGCATCCCATTAAACTACAATATTATCCAGTGACTGTTAAATAAATCTATCAGTAATTTTTCATAAGGTATCTAAATATATACATAGCCATGTATACCTATATGTATCCATGTATACATCTGCCAATTAAAATATAAAGTAGTTAAATCATTATGCTTGCATTTTGATATTAGAGTTGTGTTGTAACATTATAATGACCTATCAGTAAACATTACATAATGACATGGAAGCACCAGCAATACCCAGAAAGGAGCAGGAAGTGTCAGTGTCTGTCCTGAGGGACTCTCCTCGCCACACCCTTAGCAAATACTCCACAGATACATTGACTTTCTAAATTATTGCACCGTGGGTACAGGTGTGGGCAGGGGGAAATGGAGGGCAAAGTCGTGGTGAGTGTAAACATGTTCCCGTCAAGTCCCTGCACTGGGGCCATGTCACACAGTCTGTACCCAGGTCCACAGAAACCAAGGCTGATGCATTGCATGGTCCACAACAGGGGCTCTGCGTGGGTGTGGCTTACAGTAACACCGGAAATGAGGAAGGCTGGGAAGGAAAGGATGCAAAGAAAAGAAAAAGTGCATTTTGGAAATAAAGATAAAGCAAAAAAGGAGACATAAATAAAGCAAATAAAAGAAAGAGTATTTGATATGAAAAATGAAATTAAAGAGGAATACAGAAGCAATGGAGAAAAGACAAAATGAAAAGGAATTCAGACAAGTTAAGAACAGTTTTAGTACTGGGGCTTTGTCTTTCTCATGGGAGGAAAACTTTGCAGCCAAGATCTCTGAAAATGTGGATGTGAGCCTGAGAATCATCCTGACCATTGCCGGGCAATATAGTTTGGAGGCCTATGATGGCTCTGCTCCAAAGTCCACAGATAAGTAAATCATTAACATTCACAAAAACAGCTTTTAAACTACAGCACTAGAACCTAGTCAACTCTCCGTAACTACAGATACCTTAAATGTGAAGTGCATTTCCCAGAGTGACAATCAAAACTGTGGATTTTGGTGGCTACATTAAAGATGTAAATTCACAGTGTGTTTTAAAATCCTGTGGAGAATATAAATCATCCAGAATTTGATGTAAATTCTCATGACACAAAATCAATGGTGAAAAGAGAGCCACTGAATTGAAACTTTTCCAACACAGTAGCTCTCACCAGAGGGAAGATTAAATTTTGACTTTATACTTTGTTATTCACAAAAATTACAGAATTTTGTAGATGAAAAAAGGTAACAGAATGATAACTGCATCATCATTACCCTAATTGAACCTTACATCTTATTTAAAATGGAAAGTCTAGACATACTCCCAGCTATCAGGGCCCCCAATGCAGCCTGCAGATCCTGGTTTCGCAGGCTGTAGATGATGGGGTTCACGGTCGGGGGTAACACAGTGTAAAACACCGATGTCAGTGCTTTCATGGATGAAGAAGTTGTAACATTTTCAGCTAAATATGTGACAAACCCAGAAATGACAAACAACAGCACCACAGCAAGGTGAGGCAGGCAGGTGGAAAGACACTTCACTCTGCCCTTTGAAACTGGGATTTTCAGAACAGTAGAAAAAATGTTGACATAAGACACACACATTACAATAAAACACATGAAAATGAGCCCACAGCTAGCAATGATCAATCCATATTCTAGAGCAGACTCCCCAGGACAGGCAAGCTTTAGAAGAGAGGGGGCCTCACAGAAGAACTGAGGCAACCTTCTGGCTTCACAGAAGTGGACAGAGAATGTACCTGCCACGTGAAGGGCTCCGTAGAGGCCCCCAAAGAGCCAGGAGGCTGTGACCATCTGCACACAGCTGCCCCTGTGCATGACAGTCTCATAGTGCAGTGGGTGGCAGATGGCAGTGTAGCGGTCATAGGACATCACGAGCAGGAGCGCAAACTCTGTGCCTCCAAAGACAAATAAAAGGAAGACCTGCAAGGCACAGCCCAGGAAGGAGATAGAATAGAGGCTGGTCAGAGAGTTCACAATGGAGTTAGGGATGGTGACAGAGATGTAGCAGACATCAATGAAGGACAAGTTCCTCAGGAAGAAGTACAAGGGAGACTGGAGATGCTGGGTAGTGCTGGTGAGGACAATGATGAGGAGGTTCCCTGTCAGGGCTAACAGGTAAATTAGGGAGAGGAGCATGGCGCAGAGCTTCTGGAGCATCCTGTCATCAGAGAACGCTGTCAACAAGAACTCTGTGAAGTTCCTCATGTTGGATAATTTCTCAGTCCTGCCACTTCTCCACAGGAATAGGTATCACTGGTTTCTCATTCAAGAAAGCTTGTAATTCATCTTTTCTTGTCATATTTACTTTAGTTGACTTTATTCTGTTTAAATTATTCATCAAAATGCTACTGATAACCATGCACGGCTCTCCATCTTATGATATTTACCATAGAAAATAAATACCATAGAAAACCATCTTATGATATTTACCATAGAAAAAGCTATGCTTGTCATAAAAAACAATTTAGAGTAAATAGAAATGTAGTAAAATGAAATGGATTACTTTATCAGGAGCAAAAAGCCTTCTGCCATCTTTGTTGCCTTACAGTATCTAGTTAGAATGTATAATACAAAGGTGAGGACTGAGCTGTTAAATGAGCTAACATATTTTGTAAAAGTAGTAGGTACAAATAACAAAAAAGATCAAGAAGTGATTGAGAAATATTTTGAAAAATAGGAACAAGCTGCGTGATTTTGACAAATGAGGCTGAAGATGCTAAACTGCAGGTGTAAAGTCTCAGGAAACACAAGAGTGAGAGTCTCACTGGGATGCTAAACATACTGCTTGGTGTTAGTTGGAAACATTTGATTCAGAATTTATTATCTTTCACAACGAATTCACCAAGGGTGTAGTTCACACCTACTCACTTAGAAGCCTGAAAGCTTCTCCTTTATTTTGATCACAACTACAATTATCATTCAACAATGATTAGAGACTACTCAATTTCTGATTTATCAGTGTCCCAAAATATTTTTAACTTTTATCCCTCTACTCTAGTTTTAAAATGAGCATGGGAGTTCTAGACACACAGACATACCTAGGAGCATCAGGTCCTTCTCTAGTCCTCTTGGCTCTTGCAACAAATTAATTGCAGTGTATGTCACCAGTTCTCTCAGCTGATGCATAGGACATTAGAACTCCTCTTTCCTGAAGGCATCAGGAAAAACATTTAGGTCATTAACCCATCAAAGTCACCCAAATTTGTAGGACAATTTTCTTCACAATTTGTTAGTGCTAGTAACCCAAAAAATGAGAAATATAAACGCAAATAACCATGCAGGGTCATACACATTCTCCTCTTATGTCACTCAACTGATAGTTTCAATAAAAATGGGTAAGCAAAAGCTCTTCAGAAGCTATCCTTCATGGTCAGTTTCATCCCAGAATAGCTTCATATTGCATGACTAATACTAATTTATTCCTTCTACAATTCCTATGTGATTTGAGTTGCAGGCTTCCTCAGTAATTTTGGCACTGGTCCAAGGTTAATGTTTATTTATAATTGCATATCTGAGGTGGCAATTAATTGGGAGACATAATCAAAAGTGCTGAACAAATCATATCCTCTAAGAGTCCCATAGGCACCCTTAAACTTCTATATGCAGGACACTTCAGAAGGGTGATATTTGCCACACAAATCTAAGAATAAAGTATAAATATTCATTGCTGTGATTTTCCATTTCTTTTAAGTAATGCATTGAACATGTGAATTCAAATAGAACTTGGTAGCTCATATTAAGTCACACATATTTTATTGTTTTGTATTCCAGTAAATCTGCTGGCTGTTATTTTTTTTTGTCTGCAGAAATGTTATCCATGGAAAATACCAAACTGCATAGAACACTTATATTTAAGAGAACTTTACTTGTAGAAATTTTTTTTAAATATTTCTTCTCAGAAGTATAATGATTCTTGGAATTATATATAAAATATTTTACTTTTTCCTTCTCAAACTGATGGACATGGAGAAGGCTTCCACACTTTAGCTATTTTGAACAGTGTAGCTTTTAAAACTCAGTATGAAAATATCTCTTGGTGTCCCTGTATTCTGTAGCTTTGTATAAATGCTCAATAGTGGAGAGGCAGGAAAAAAAAAAAAAAACCTAGAGAAATTTTTAGAAGGCAATACCGAAAGTGCTAGTAGAAAAAAGAGGAAGCTTGGACTTAAAAACTATAGCAAGTTCCTATTTTTGACAGCTGGACCACAGTTGAGAAAGATAAGAGAACAAATAACTACAGGCTGGTGGGTGTCCCTGAAATCATTTATTTAGATAGCACAGAGCACCCTCCTCTTAAGACTAAGGCATGCCGGCAATGCATGTGCTACACAATACAGTGGTATTATGAACTTAATTCACTCCATGATTGGTCATGAACTGAGTTGATCATGAACCTAAGAAATTTTCCCATAAGGAAAATCAAATAAAGTTAATTCATTATGAACCACATGTATGTTTTTTTATCACAAAAATATGAAACAAAGTACAGGATAATATACGATGAAGAGAGAGATCAACTTTGTTGTGATGACTTCCAGTGTGGAGGACAGAAGATGGGTGAGACAAAGAAGTTATTGTTTGGAGGGAGAGTACCCCTTAATAATGTTACAGGTATCTGAGTTAGAAATATCACAGGCAGTCAGACAGGTCTGGGCACTCAAAAGAACCAGTACAGAAGTTGAGATATCTTGTGACCACTGAGGAGACAGGCACCTCCTGCTGTGGGCCAGGTCTCAAGACAAAAGGCGAAGCAAATACACTAGCATCCTAAGGTCTACAGTCCAAATAGTTCTCTGTCTCCCTGAGGAGGTAAGGAGTCAGCATTCTCCCCTGTACAAGAACAGTCACTGCTGTTAAGTATGCCCAGTTATTACATGACTCTACCCTACCATTTGTTCTAACAATTTTACCTGAGCAGTTAATCCTATTGGTTCATCACAGTTCTGTTACACCTTCTGCCCACCTTGTGAGTTCCCATTTTTCCGTACCTTGGACCCATCTCACCTCATGATTTTACTCTACCAAAGTCCTTTTTTAAAGACAAAGTTTTTGGCAACCCACTCGTGACTTCTTCTGTCTCTCTCTCAGACAACCTTCTTTCTCTCAAGAAATATATTCTGCTCTTAATCTCTGTTGTTCCTAAAATTAATTCTTTGATTTTAGAGAACACAACTCATACTGAATATACAGTATATCGGGAGTTTATTCTCCTATATCAATAATGATGTCAGAGAGATCTCAATCAGGTGTCTCCTCTTTCCTTTGTCTCTTAGTGGCCAGGTAAGTTTTGATGAAAACTCTTTCTAGTGTCATTGTTTTTCCTGGTCTTCATAATCTCGCAGAAATAACAGACCTTACTGTCATTCAGCAGACTCAACACTGGATACTACTATTATGTAGGGTGGTGCTTCTCTAAGCATCCCTGGTACCCATTACATTTACCATAATGGGTGTTATCACATCACTGATGACCTTCCTATCATCCCTGTCCTCAGGGGATGCTCATGCACAAGCACATTCTGCTTCTCACTCTGGAATTTAATGAGTTCCTCCACCGTTATCGCCTCCTCCTGGTCCTCAGCAACCTCCTCTGTGTCTGCACTATCGATGTCCTATTTCACACTCCTACCTGTGGACATAAACTCCTCTTCTATCTGTGCATCACACCCTTCAAATTCATGTTCAGTGACACACTCTGGCCACAGTTTCTTGCAGGCTGAGTCCAAGGTGTGGTACATGACATCTTTCCTGGCTTTGTCAAGAAAGTTGATGCAGTGGAAGACACTGAAATGTTTCTTCTGGAACTCTCAGAGTGAGGTTCATCTGCTGAGTGATATTAAAACTTGGTATTAGTATAACATCTTGGAATTGCGGATCACTTGCTGGTCCCTGTGCTGCAGAAAAAGTGTGTGGGAGGAACTTGAGTTTCACGAAGTCATACTCAGCATTCTTATCATTTATCAAGGCTACAGGGCGTCCACCCATGGAAGATAATTTTCAGGTACGTGGTTGTCTGAAAGGTATTTCTTAATGGTAGATGCAAATAGCTCATGCAGCCACTCCATGAACAGTTGCCTTGTGAACCAAGATATTGTATTAGTTCTCCAAGTGACAGGCAGTCTGGCCTTGTTCACTTTCTGGTCATTGTGTGGATCAAGAGTGGCTTAATTTTCATATCATAACTTGTGCTCACAAAGGGTAAAAGTTTCAATCTGTATTTCACATGCTTGCTTCCCAGCAGTGCTTTTTCCTTCTGTATAATATTGGTTCTCTTTAGCATCTTCTTCTATAAAAGCCCTGTGTCACCAGGGCTTTGAACTTGCTGAATGATGAATCTTCCTGCCTTTATGAATACTGTGAATTCTTCCCTGTAGTCCTCTGTGGCAGCCTGGTAAGAACTAGAAGATTCCTCATGTCTTGTCACACTATGTGTGACACTTTTGCTCGTTTATCAAACAACCTTCTCTATGCTTAAATTCATCACTTGTTGCACTTGTGGAGAGGTTTTCTTGTGGCAGGTTACTGTGCAACGTCTGGACTTTTGCACAGATCATAATGTTATGCTACCACCAGCTGGATATTTCTCCTTCAGACCCACTAACAAAGGTTTTTCCACCTCTTCTAGCACTTGTGTTCTCAACTTAATTTAATGGAATTATTCCTTTTGCCACATCAGCTTCTTTGACGGCATGATTATTCTTCAAAATATTAGAGATTGTCAACTTCGTTGTCTTGTATTACAAGAACAGAGCAGGTACAGGAATACCATGTTCATGATTTACTATAATTTCTTTCTTCAATTTTATGGTTATTTGCCTCTACAACTTATTCCTACAATTCTATCTCTGCATCATCTTTTCACATTCATTAAACATCCTGGTCACCCTCACCACCAGTCAGCACTTTGGTTTTACCATCATGCTTGCTCTGAACTTTCTTTGGCAATAGGTCAGACTGAAAATACTTTACAGCACTCTAATGTGCTCAAAAGCACACAAAAACCACAGCAAGTGTGCACAGGTGTGTCTGTGACCATGGTCTTGACTAGATGAAGACAAAATCACATGTCAGCATGAAGAACATGAGCAGGAGATGTAGTTCAGCGGCACAAGCACCTGCCTGGCAAGTGCAAGGTCAAGAATTTGATTCCAGGTACATAAAAGAAAAAAAAAAAAATCAAGCATGGGGAAGATGACCAAAATTGT